CCTTGCGGCCCGGCCAGCCAGGCCAGCCAGGCCCAGCCAGGCCCGCCGCGCTGTTCCACTCTAATTGAGTCGGCCCCGTTCTCTCTCTCTCTCTCTCTCTCTCTCTCTCTCTCTCTCTCTCTCTCTCTCTCTCTCTCTCACACACACACACACACGTGCGCGGCCAGATACTTTACGGACTGAAACGCTCCGCCCGGCCGTGGCGCCGTGGCGCTCGCCCAGCAGTCTAACAGGGCACTGCACACACACTGACAAACATTTAGAATGTTGCCGTTTTGTCGAATCGAGCACAGATGAAGGATGCTCATCACAGTGATCGGCCTCAGAAAGTACTCACATATAGGCTCGTTTAAAATCAAAATAGTGAATGGATCGCGTTTGTTTGGGGATGCAAGGAATTTCCCCAAGTCGTTTCGGAGGTCCTGGTCGTCACCCTTTGCGGGGTTTCTGACATGTTGAGTATGTTTTCGTTCGAGCGAACGTCGACGGTTTTTTTCCTTCTTGCTGGTCCGTCCCGACGACGACGGGAAATGACGGGGAAGCCTTATGGGCCTCTCTTCTGCCTTGCAATCTTCTCGAAACTTTCCATTTCACGAACGGGTGTGTCTGTGTGTGTGGTGATCCGGTGCTTTTGCCGGCCCGTTTAGCGGAACGCAGCCAGCGGGCTGCAAAGCACCGCCTAGCTCTGCCTGGCCCTGCTTGGCTCTGCCGAGCAGCAATGGGCGCGACGCTGTGTGGCGACTGTGACGACGCGCCTTCCGGTGGCCAGGGCCGCCAGGGAGGGAGACTGAGGCACTGGGAGGGGAGAGCCGCGTTTCGTCGCTCTGTCGCTCTCGCACCCCTCCGGACTCCCGAGCTCCGGCAGTCCGGCAGGCCCCACGACGCCCCACGAGTGCGACAGAGACGGAGCGACGCGCTGGGGCCGCTGGGGCCGCTGGGGGTCGATGACGTCCGTCGCCGAGGTGCGCCCCGGTCGTAATGAAGACGTCGGTCGCCGTCCGCCTCGGCCTTCTTGGGCTTGGCCGGAAGCTGCTGGCTGTGCTGGCACACCGCAGCGCGGTCGGACGGACAGACAGGCAGGCAGACAAACAGGCGGACAGACAGGTTGACAAACGGCCAGATCGGTAGAGGCTGGAAGAGGCATACGACTCGTCTCGTCCCTGGCGCGTCGCTGTAGAGCGTCAGCCTGGAGGGTAGGCTTGCCCGCGGCGCAGCCCCGCGCAACAGCACTGCCTACCTCACAGGCGCTCCTCGCTGCCGGCCGTCTTGTGCTTCTCGTGCTTCTCGCACTTCTCGAGCTACTCGCCCGCGACGCAGAACGGCAGAACGCGCTCCCGGACCTCCGCGACAAACGTCAGCGCGGCCCTCCGAGGATCCTCCTTTCGGGGACGCCAACCTGACGCAACGGAGACCGCCGCCACCGCGACCCGGTCAAGTCCGCCGTCCGTCAGGTCCCCGTCAGGTCCCCGTCAAGTCCCCGCCTAGGCAGGTCGACGGTGCGCCCCCTTTTTGCCGCATTTTTCCCGCCGCGTTTGGCGCGGACCGTGGCGGTGGCGGCGGCGCGACAGGTGTCATTTGTTATCGGCGCCGCGGGGCGAGGCGGCGGAGACCGCGGCCGGCCGTTTCCGTGGCGTGCAGCTTGCAGTGCAGCAGCTTGCAGTGCAGCAGCTTGGAGCTTGCAGTGCGGCGGCGAGGCGCCAGGATGGCGAAATTCCGCCGATGGCGCACGCCGGCCTGGGCGCTCCTTCCATCATTTATTTATGTTTCTCGTTCTTCTGGTCCTCCTCCATCTCCTAGCTTCTTCTCCTCCCTCTCCTCCTTCTTCGAGGACAAGGGGCATCAGCGTTATGTCACGGTGGCGGCCGCGTCGGACTCCTCCTCCTGCTGCTGGCTCTTGCCGCCGCTTCGACTCCTCCTCCTTTCGAACAATTCAGTGCAATTTCAAAGTCTTAAATTACGGGGACGCGCGGCGCGCGTGAGACACACTCACACACACACAGACGATGCACGCGGACCTAAAGCTTAAGCCGCCTCGCTGCAGACGGTGTGTGCCTTAACCTAACCCAAGCTAAGCTAACCTAAAGCCGCCTCGCCCGCAGACGGTGTGTGCTTTAACATCCTGAAAAAACAAAAGCTGTAATCCGCTCGCCCGCCTCGTGCGCGGACTGACTGTCTGACTGTCTGTCTGTCTGTCGTTGTGTCTGTGTGTGCGAGTGCGAGGAGGGGGGAATGTACTATAGGGCAAACAAAAAACCGTATGCGGCAAATCAAAAACCGTATGAGGCAGACCAAAAGCCGTATAGGGCAAACAAAAAACCGTATGCGGCAAATCAAAAACCGTATGAGGCAGACCAAAAGCCGTATAGGGCAAACAAAAAACCGTATGTGGCAAATCAAAAACCGTATGAGGCAGACCAAAAGCCGTATAGGGCAAACAAAAAACCGTATGCGGCAAATCAAAAACCGTATGAGGCAGACCAAAAGCCGTATAGGGCAAACAAAAAACTGTATGCGGCAAATCAAAAACCGTATGAGGCAGACCAAAAGCCGTATAGGGCAAACAAAAAACCGTATGCGGCAAATCAAAAACCGTATGAGGCAGACCAAAAGCCGTATAGGGCAAACAAAAAACCGTATGTGGCAAATCAAAACCGTATGAGGCAGACCAAAAGCCGTATAGGGCAAACAAAAAACCGTATGCGGCAAATCAAAAACCGTATGAGGCAGACCAAAAGCCGTATAGGGCAAACAAAAAACCGTATGCGGCAAATCAAAAACCGTATGAGGCAGACCAAAAGCCGTATAGGGCAAACAAAAAACCGTATGTGGCAAATCAAAAACCGTATGAGGCAGACCAAAAGCCGTATAGGGCAAACAAAAAACCGTATGCGGCAAATCAAAAACCGTATGAGGCAGACCAAAAGCCGTATAGGGCAAACAAAAAACCGTATGTGGCAAATCAAAAACCGTATGAGGCAGACCAAAAGCCGTATAGGGCAAACAAAAAACCGTATGCGGCAAATCAAAAACCGTATGAGGCAGACCAAAAGCCGTATAGGGCAAACAAAAAACCGTATGCGGCAAATCAAAAACCGTATGAGGCAGACCAAAAGCCGTATAGGGCAAACAAAAAACCGTATGCGGCAAATCAAAAACCGTATGAGGCAGACCAAAAGCCGTATAGGGCAAACAAAAAACCGTATGCGGCAAATCAAAAACCGTATGAGGCAGACCAAAAGCCGTATAGGGCAAACAAAAAACCGTATGCGGCAAATCAAAAACCGTATGAGGCAGACCAAAAGCCGTATAGGGCAAACAAAAAACCGTATGCGGCAAATCAAAAACCGTATGAGGCAGACCAAAAGCCGTATAGGGCAAACAAAAAACCGTATGCGGCAAATCAAAAACCGTATGAGGCAGACCAAAAGCCGTATAGGGCAAACAAAAAACCGTATGCGGCAAATCAAAAACCGTATGAGGCAGACCAAAAGCCGTATAGGGCAAACAAAAAACCGTATGCGGCAAATCAAAAACCGTATGAGGCAGACCAAAAGCCGTATAGGGCAAACAAAAAACCGTATGCGGCAAATCAAAAACCGTATGAGGCAGACCAAAAGCCGTATAGGGCAAACAAAAAACCGTATGCGGCAAATCAAAAACCGTATGAGGCAGACCAAAAGCCGTATAGGGCAAACAAAAAACCGTATGTGGCAAATCAAAAACCGTATGAGGCAGACCAAAAGCCGTATAGGGCAAACAAAAAACCGTATGCGGCAAATCAAAAACCGTATGAGGCAGACCAAAAGCCGTATAGGGCAAACAAAAAACCGTATGCGGCAAATCAAAAACCGTATGAGGCAGACCAAAAGCCGTATAGGGCAAACAAAAAACCGTATGCGGCAAATCAAAAACCGTATGAGGCAGACCAAAAGCCGTATAGGGCAAACAAAAAACCGTATGCGGCAAATCAAAAACCGTATGAGGCAGACCAAAAGCCGTATAGGGCAAACAAAAAACCGTATGCGGCAAATCAAAAACCGTATGAGGCAGACCAAAAGCCGTATAGGGCAAACAAAAAACCGTATGCGGCAAATCAAAAACCGTATGAGGCAGACCAAAAGCCGTATAGGGCAAACAAAAAACCGTATGCGGCAAATCAAAAACCGTATGAGGCAGACCAAAAGCCGTATAGGGCAAACAAAAAACCGTATGCGGCAAATCAAAAACCGTATGAGGCAGACCAAAAGCCGTATAGGGCAAACAAAAAACCGTATGCGGCAAATCAAAAACCGTATGAGGCAGACCAAAAGCCGTATAGGGCAAACAAAAAACCGTATGCGGCAAATCAAAAACCGTATGAGGCAGACCAAAAGCCGTATAGGGCAAACAAAAAACCGTATGCGGCAAATCAAAAACCGTATGAGGCAGACCAAAAGCCGTATAGGGCAAACAAAAAACCGTATGCGGCAAATCAAAAACCGTATGAGGCAGACCAAAAGCCGTATAGGGCAAACAAAAAACCGTATGCGGCAAATCAAAAACCGTATGAGGCAGACCAAAAGCCGTATACGCATATGTTGTCACGATGTTACCCACCACCACGCCCCGCGTGCCGCCGTGTGTGTGTGCGTGTGTGTGTGACGTGCGTGACTCCTGCGTGGGGTATGGCGGTATGCGCCTCATATATCAGAGTCCGGCTCGATCGCCGTGCGCGCCGTGCGGCACTGCGGCTATGTAAATGAGCTGATTGTGCAAGGCGGAGTGCTTGACGCGCCGCGCTACTCCGTGGCTGCCAGCCCTGGCTGCGCGTCTGGCTGGCTGTCTGGCTGGCGGTCGCGGTATTCCGGCCGCCGAAATGGTTCTGACTGCTGGAATCGGAATCTCCAGCGTGCACGCGTCGCCGCGCGTTGCTCTCCCTAATTTGAAATGGATGCATTCGCCATTCGCGCACGCCGGGTCCGGAGTCTGGAATGTACATGCCGCTGCTTTGTGTGTTGCAGGCGAAGGCTGCGCCGAGAAGCCGCTCTCGACGCTGTGGAAGAACTACACGTCGTCGAGCAAGCCCGACGTGAACATGAAGGTGGCGGTGACGCGGAGCGGCCTCAAGGCCACCACCCGGGAGCACGGCCTCACCGAGTACTGGAGCCACCGCATCACGCACTGTGCCGCGCCGCCGGCCTTCCCCCGCGTCTTCTGCTGGGTGAGTACGCCGCCGTGCCGAGCTGTGCCGTGACGGGGACGTGCAGGGCGACGGGGACGTGCAGGGCGACGGGGACGTGCAGGGCGACGGGGACGTGCAAGACGACGGGGATGTGCGGGACGACGGGGACGGGCAGGACGACGGGGATGTGGAGGACGACGGGGACGTGCAGGACGACGGGGACGAGCAGGACAACGGGAACGTTCGGGACGACGGGGACGTGCAGGACGACGGGGACATTCAGGACGACGGGAACGTGCAGGACGACGGGGACGTGCAGGACGTCGATGGAATGACCGCAGGCCGACCGCTACCGCCGCGGCCAATAAGGCGAGCACGAGGAGGAACGTAAATTTAGCCTGTCGGTCTGTGCTGCGCGGTGCTGCGCCATGCACGCGGCGTTTTAGTGCTTCGTGATGCCACCCATACAGTGGCGGGGCGGGGCGGGGCGGGGCGTGGGTGGCCGTGCAGATAAGTCCCTCCGAATGGGCGCACTGCACTGGCCCGGCCGGCCGGTCGGAACTAAAAATAAAAACATTGCGCGGCGCGGAACGGAACGGCTGTGGCTTGACGACGTCGACGGCGACGTCGACGGCGTCCTCGCGTAATAAGCCGCGATTCCTGAGGCAAATCAGCGCACGGCGAACACGTGTTCACGCCGCACGTGCAGTGGCAGTCCAAGGTGGAGGAGTCCCGAGTAGGACGTGCCACTGGGGTGGCCGTCGCCCGGACTAGCCGGCTCACAGTGGGGCGGACAAAACTCTAAACGCGTTTTTAGCTCCAGAGTCGCTAAATGGGACTCGAACCGAACGTGTGACCCCACCAATGGATTGCTCTCCGAACGAGGAATCCATTGTTGGGGTCACACGCTCGGTTCGAGTCCCCCTTGGCGACTCCTGAGGTCAAAACACGTCTGGAGTGTTGTCCGCCGTGTCCGCCTCCACCGTTCTTCTGGCCCACTGTGCGGCTTCTTTTCCTCCTTGCTGGAGTCCGGGAGTCCCACGAGCCGAACCGATTAATTGCTGCGATGCCACGCGCGGGACGCCCGTCTGTCTGCCTGTCTATCCGTCCGACTGGCGCTGAGGTCGCGGTCTTGGACTTCCCTGCCATGCCGCGGGAGTTCGCGTGTCGCGATGCAAACCAAACCAGAATCGAAAACAGGAAAGAAAAAAAAAGAAAAACGTGACACGCCGGTCGATTATCCCCGCGAATCCAGTTTCGTGGGAGCGACGCGTCTTGCGAATGGGGCCTGGCGCCTGGCTTGGGCTTGGGCGCTAGCGGGGCGTAGCGCGGCCGCCCGCAGGCCTTGCAGAAATGCAGAATTGGCGCCTCGGAAGCTGTCTCACTGCACTTGTTCTCGGCCCGGTTGTTGACGGCCGGCCCGGCCGGACACACCGGGTGTACACTCGTGACTGGCACTTCGTGGCGCGGCGGCTGCACGCCCATGTCGCTCTGTCGCTCTGTCTCTCTCGCACCCCCGCGGGGCGCCCTGTGAGTGCGAGGGAGACAGAGCGACGGCTGCGCTGTTCGGAAGCAGCCCGCTGTGGTGTTTTAGGTGGCCGGGTCCGTCTGGCCGGCAGCTCGCCGCTCCGGCCGTTCCCACACCTGAGTCACACAGTCACACCGCCGCGGGACAATGTCATTTGTGGGATGGGCGGTCATGATGGCCGTCATCAGAGCGTCGCCCGCGGGGAATTTTTGGCTCTTGGCGTGCGCCGTGCCGTGCGCCGTGCCGTGCGCCGTGCTGGGGGCCGCCGCCACCGTGACTCGACTCTGACCGTTGCTCCGCCTTCGCCTTTTGCAGGTGTACCGCCACGAGGGCCGCAAGCTGAAGCAGGAGCTGCGCTGCCACGCCGTGCTGTGCGCGCGCGAGGACCAGGCGCGGCGGATGGCGACCCAGCTGACGGAGCGGCTGGCGCTGGCGTTGCTGGAGTTCCGGCGCGACAAGCAGAGCCGCGAGCAGGCCCGGCTGTCGCTGGCCAACGCCCTGCACGACAACCCCTCGCTGCCGCAGCGCAAGCTGCTGCTGTCCACGGGCGCCTCCAACTACCGGCCGCCGCTGGAGCGCTCCAAGTCGGCGCCCAAGCTGGGCTCCATCGAGGAGGCCGCCGAGGAGGACGACGACGTGCTGGTGTTCGGCCACCCCCGCGCCGTGGCGCGCTTCCTGCGCGACGAGCGGCTGGCCAGCGTGCGGCGGCAGCGCTTCCGAGACAGCCTGCGCCGCAAGATCGCCACGCGGCTCGAGGCCGAGGACGCCCTGCCCGAGGACCCCATGCGCGAGGACCCGCGGCGCGAGGTGCTCACCGTCGTCCGGGTCAACTCGATCGAGGAGGTGCCGGACCCGGAGCCCTCCCTGGCCGCGTCTCTGGAGGAGCGCGCCGCACCGCTGCCGCTGCACCAGCTCGTGAGCCCCGCCAGCGCCGTGAGCGCCGCCAGCCCCGCCGCCGTGCAGGCGCGCGTGCAGGCGCTGTCCCTGCTGGACGGCGAGGACGCCGGCGACGCCGCGGAGAGCGACGAGGGCTCCAGCAGCCTGCAGAGCATCTCCTCGGACGGCGCCATGTCCTTGTCGCACTCGCACAGCCGCACCGACTCGGGCGAGGACTTCTGCCTGGGCGCGGACGCCAGCAAGACCTCCCGGCTGCACCTCCACCACCACCGCCACGACGCGGACCTGCACGCGCACGGAGACGCGCACGATGACGACGCCCTGGTGTGGGAGGGGGGCGTGGCTGAGGGGGAGCGCGACGACTTCGACGACAACGTCAGCGACGAGAGCGGCTACGTGGAGGCGCCTTCTGAAGCCCTCCTCCGGTGCCACGCCCTCGGCCAGGGCCTCGGACAGGGCCTCGGACAGGGCCTCGGACAGGGCCTCGGACAGGGCCTCGGACAGGGCCTCGGACAGGGCCTCGGACAGGGCCTCGGCGAGCGCTTGGAGCAGACCTCAGACAAGGCGTGCCCCAAACCCAAGGCCCGTGCCGCGCCGCCGCTGCCGATCTTGGCCTCTGCCCGACCGCTGCGGCCAGCTCTGCGACAGGGGCTGCAAGTTTGACTGGGTGACAGGGCGACGGGCTACAGCATCTGGCTCTAGAAGTACCAAAGGCAACCGCTGCACTCAGCTTTACAAACCACTATTTGTCTTTCACTTTATTGAAATTTTCCCAATGACTATGGTGTCTGAGAACCACCCCTTTTGTACGTTTTAATGACTTTGACCTAAGAAATGTTCTTTTTTTACCAGTTTTGGTTATTTCTTAGAACTTTGAAAAAAAATTCCCCCTTGTTTTAAACCTGTTTTTGGGTACCTGGTGCTGCTGGCCTTTCGTTTTCTGCACAAAATAAGCCGTGTCTAACTTGTGATCGCCTTGGAGGGAGTCGTTTGTTACGCTTCAATCAAAGATTCAGTTATATTGTTGCCATGGAGGAGTCTGATAGAACACATCAAGTGTTCACTCAGCCACCTCTTCTTCTTAGGTTTCTGTTTGTTTTTGTTTATTTGTTTTATTGTGCTACAGATGAGAATTTTAAAGGTTCTATTGATGAGAAGGACACCCTCTGGGAATAGAGTTAACACTAGCAAGACGGATCTGGAGCCATTTTAAAGTGTGTTTGGGGTAAATGAATCTGCTTCCACTATCTGTCAGTTGCTTATTCCATTTGTAGGTGTTGTGGATTGTATGTTATGATCAGTTATGTTACCATTTATAATTATTTATGAACTGTTAAAAAAATTATGAGCCATTGCGACATTTTCCTGTAATCACTTTTATGTCCCTATGACCCTGAGATGTCCTAATTCTTGTATTTTTAAAACATTCCTCAGCTTAATGTTATTTCTTGATATTACATGTCAACTTTGACTGTGGAAGCGTCTCTTGTTAAAAGCAAAGGAGCTATCACTGAATTATTTACTGACAAATATTGACCTAGTGCTAACTGGTAAATTAGAAGTGTTTTTTATGTACCTCATTGACGACTCAAGTAGGCTTTCAAGCAAAATGTATTTGAAAGAATGATATGTGCAACTAATTACGCATGCCTGAGTCGCAGGAAAAAAAATCCCATCTCTAGTCGTGCTAACTGAGGATGCGCTCAAATTTTCTCATAAAATTTACATTGTATGGATATGGGGCTGGAAGTGGTTGAATGTGCCACACAAAAGCCATTGACTTGCTGTAAAACTGATACAGTGTAAATAGTGTGTGAAAGTGCTTGAATTATTTAAATTGTGAGTTCTGCTTCCATGTTTGAAGTATTATGAACAGTTGTGATTAAATTCTATGCCAGTTAGAGTTCACCTCCTCTCATTTTTCTACAAAGGCTTTTTCAGTGATACCTTTATATTTGGAGGATAGAAAAATCAAATCTATTGAAATTTGAGATTACCTAGATAGAAAGATGAAATTCCTTGTCCTGAATCCGTTAATTATTTTAGTCTTTGGCAGATCTGTCTGTGATTGGTTTGTATGAATATTTATAATGCTACTTTAAGTTCTCCTCATTAGGATTAGGATTAAAACATGAGTGTTTAAGAAAATGATAAAAGTCTGAGGTGCTGTTATAGTTGGTGACAAGCATGGACTCACTAACTGAGTGAGCTCATATTTTGTCAAAGTTGTAGTGCACAGTGTGGAGTTATTAATAAGATTGAATTGAATCTGTCAAGTGATGCTATGCCGCTAAATGCATGTTTTTTGCTTCTGTTCTCTATGATATAGTACAAATTGAGATATCCTCAAATAGCAAACATTCTTCTATGTGATTGCGTTTTAAGGTTGCGTATTTCATTTTATTTGTTTGGACTCCGTTTGAACTCTTGTCTTTGTGACCTCATTATTTTATCTTGAAGATCTAGAAGAGGTCTCACTGAGGTAATGCTGAGCTTCAGGTGACTTCATTTTTTGTTTTTTTGGTTTTCTGATTTCCTAAAAAAATTCAATCATGCACATGCAGACTTTCTCGATACATTTTGTCCCTCCCTTTGTTTCTCTGTTGAAGTGTTACTTCATTAGTCACAACCACACAGTTTCTAGGTGTAAATATTGTTAATAAAAATGAAAATATACATGATTTCAAAATGTTATTATGTTTTGAGATTTATTAAATAAATAAATAACTGATGTGGGAAGTATTGTGTGGCCATTTTCTTCGCACGGCTCCCACCCCCTCGACTCGTCACTGTGCGGTTATAGGAAATTGGAGAAGGAAACTAGTAATTTTTACCCTGCAAAGAGGCCAAGGAGTTCCCCTCATTCCTCAGTTCCCCCGAGAGATGCCCCGCCCAAACGTTCTCTCGCGCGGGCAGTGTCCCTCGCCGCTTTGACTAGTCTGTCAGCATCATCTGTTTCCTGATGCCATTTCAGGCCCAGTTGATCAGTTTTCTTCTGCAAGTTTTGGCACCATGGCGCCAGTTGGTAGTTTGAGGTATTCTATTGCAGTGACTTAAAAACACAAAAGACATGATGATGTTTATAAAAAGAACATTTTTATTTTCTTTTACAATTATTTGGACAACTATTTCAGTGTCGTTTTATAAACCATAAAGAAGGCACGTATACACAACTATATGATAACTGAACAGGATATTTATCGTCGACTGCTTGTTTTTGATGAGGTACTTTTAATGTCCCTACGTAAATTGTTGAGGCTACTTAAATTAATGTGTCATATTTTATTGCTAAAGACTAGTTTGGTTTCATTTTCAATGTCAACAATTACTTACTTTTACATTCAAATGCTCATTATGTAAGTGAAGTCAAAAAAGGTCATTACAGTGTTCATTTTCTTATATTGTATAACACACATAATTTTTAAGTAATGTCATCATGACAAAATTTGAGAATTTCAGGACTTCACAAAAAACTTATGCTCCACTCAAAAGATGCTATCTGCACAGTACAAGCACCACAAATCTAATGTCTAACAAAGAGTCTTGTTCTGTGTGTAAAGGTAACACAGGAATCATAGATGATACAAGTTTACTTCTAGAAGGCTATTGTGCTCACAGACTGTCTAAATCTAAGTTGTGGACTAATGGGAAACTCAAGAAGTACACTGGTATTTAAACACATTGATGTTAAAGAACGGTAATACTGCTAAGTCATGGGCATAACGTGTGAAAATATTTCCACTGAAAATGCAAAATGCATGACACATTCATTGACTGTCTAAAAGTTTTAAAAATCTCCCTTATAAGTGGTGAAATAATAATCACTAAATTTTGTGCATGAACAAAATCGAATTGATTGTAGGGAAGATGAAAGGAGAATGCAGTATTCAAATTTGCGCAAAAGAGAAGATCAAGTCACTTTTCATGTGGGTTCCAGCATGCATAAGTACATGAGCACAAAGTTTTGATACTATCTGGTTAAAAATGATGATGGGATTGTAAGAATAATCCATGAGGGTTGTCTACAACAGGTTAACAAGCGTGCACTGAAGTATACCTGTATACACTACAAACCTAACTGTCTACTAAGTACACACTTACAAATGCATGCTTGCAAGTACACACTTACAAACGCATGCTTGGCCAAGTACACACTTACAAATGCATGCTTGCAAGCACACACTTACAAACGCATGCTTGACGCATAGAGTTATACGGCGTCAAGCATGCGTTTGTAAGTGTGTACTTGCAAGCATGCGTTTGTAAGTGTGTACTTGGCCAAGCATGCGTTTGTAAGTGTGTACTTGCAAGCATGCATTTGTAAGTGTGTACTTAGTAGACAGTTAGGTTTGCAGTGTAAGCAAATATACATGTATATCATATATGGCACAAACATTTATAGTCCTAGAAAAATATCATATACTCAAATCTCATACACATTTGATGATTTTGATAAACTTATCCACTTGTTATCACAGGTGATAAAGAGACAGCCACCAGACAAAAATGAAATTTGAGAGTGGTGCAATCTAAATTTCAGACAGTTTAAAACAACTAAATTGTGTCAATAACGTTTTCTTATAGAATAATTTAAGCAACAAGATACTTCTGAATTTTGAAGGCTCAAAACAGGAGTTCACATAGGCAGGACTAGAAATTTAAAAATTGTGAAACTATACCTTTGCTCTTGAATTGGCCCTTCTACAGAACAACTGAAATAAATCCAATCTTATTTGAATGAAAGTTTATGAATTGTGATATGATCCTGGCAGTATAAGACATATCCATACTTGCTTTGAAATGTTCAATTTATCAACTGAATAGAAAAATTAATGCAACCAAATTCGGTTTGGTTATAAATAAATTACACTTGAATCTCAACCAAATATTTAAAATGAACATATGCATAAACATAATCTACAGCACTTAATCACAGCATAAACACTGACTAATTATCAACATTAACAACTGCTAAGTATCATTCACATTTCAGACTTTTTAATGTCTGTAAAAGGCTCAGTTGAACTCAGTTCTTGTCAGAAATACTAACATGGCAACCAAGGCTCTCAAGATTAAGACAAGCATTAGAGATGAAGAAGAGACCATTCACATAAATAAAACTGGTATTAAATTTGAATTTTCTTGAAAACCAACAACAACCACCAAAAAGACAACACGGCGCCGGAGGCATTACATCAAACTACATGCATTTCTAGAGGTGCGTAAGATTTTGTGACTATTTTGACAAATAAAACATAAAAGGGAGTGCAATTTGTTGCATTTGTACAGTATTGTACGATAGAGACATTGCATTTTAAAAACATGTCAAACTCACACCCACAGCTTGCCCTTAATTGACACTTGGCTGCTCTGGAAGTACCAAATGAGCCAAGAAACAACACTTGGCCACAATACCATCATTGCAATACAATATAACATTAGCTCGACCTTCGTCTGCACCATTCATTCATTCATTCAATTCATTCCTCTCTAAATACACACGGACACTCACTCACACACGGACACACACACAAACATACAAACAATCACATACACAGAACACACCCATTTAAACTGACTTCCACGCGGGAGGGTTCAATCCAAGCACTGGATGGTAGTCCTAGACTACAGTGCGGCTAGCCTGAGCACTCTCGTCGAGAACATCCATAAGACGACTGTGCAGGCAGACAGCTGCAGGTGGCCGGCCCCGCTAGCCTTGTCCTTGCCGGCCTCCGCCCCTCTGCCGGGAGACGAGGACTGCTTCGACCCGGCGTGCCCACCGTCCGTGGTCCAGTTGCTGTTGGAGTCCACATTGTTGGCATCTGCAAGAGCGAGAAGGCAGAGTCAGTTTCGTCGCCAACAACTGGCAGTAGGAAAGAACACACACTCGAGCAACTTGCAATGACGCTCAGTGGGCCGGAAGACCAGTGGAGGCGGCCAAAATTGTAGACGCACTTTGAGCGTCGTTAAACTGGACTCTAACCGGACGTGTGACCCCCACCAATGGATTCCCCGTTCGAGAAGCAGTCCATTGGTGGGGTCACACGTTCGGTTGGAGTCCCATTTAGCGACTCTCGAGCTCAAAACGCGTCCTGGATTTAGACCACCTCCACCGCGTTCTACTGGCCCACTGTGTGACGAAGTTTGGGCGCGACTCACCGACTGACGGGCCTTCGTCGCCGGAGCCCTCCATGCCGGAGCCCTCGGAGGGCACGTTCCAGCTGTCGTGGTCCTCGTCGTCGCTCCAGGTGCCGGGCGCGTAGTGGCCGCGGCCCACGGCGCCGCTCGCGCCGCCAGCAGCGCTGCCCTCTGCCTCGGCCTCGTAGCCCTCCTCGTCGCGGACGAACGAGTCCGACTCCGGCACCGTGGCCAGCTCGGCCAGCTGGCTCAGCACCAGCTGCCGCAGGTGGCGAAGCTGGTCGCCTAGGTGCGGGATGGCCTCGGTGGCGCCGTGCGACCCCCACGGCAGCTCGGGGTTGTAGCGCTGCGCGCTCACCGACGCGGCCACTACCGTCTTGGTGTACCTGCAGCAGGAGGGGGGAGGTTATACTCCAGGCGAGAGGGCAGACAACGGCGCCGTCGATACTCCTCGCGCGCAGAGGGAGCCTTGCAACAGGCAACACACGCGGCAGGGCTGCGTGCGGGCTGCCTACCCTCGCTCCGTCAGGCGCTCGGCGGCCAGGCGCTCAGTGGTAACTCACTCTCCGACTCGCTGGCCGTTCCAACAGGGCTGCGAGTTCTTGGACGCGAAGCCCTCGTCCGCACACAGCACGTCGGCCAGGTCCGCGTAGAAGGAGCGGCTCCTCAGCAGCGACTCCTGCAGCTCGCGCAGCGTCTTGGCGAAGTGCACGGCGGAGGCGGGCGACGCCGGCGACCCGAGCGGACCCTCGCCGCCGACGCCAAGCACGTCGTCAGCCAGTGGGTACGGGTTGCGGCCCCACCAGGGCCACGGCGTCGTCGAAGGCACCGCGTCGGCGGCCACCTCCACCCACTTGGGCGGCCCGCAAGCCGACTTCATCTGCAACAAGAATGCCGTGAAGGCCAAGGTCAATAACCTGGCGGAAAGCACGCAGCACAGGGACAAAAGACCGGTAGAGGCGGTCAAAATCCCGGAATCACTAAATGGGACTCGAACGGAACGAGTGACCCCACCAATGGATTGCTCTCTGATCGAGGAATCTATTGGTGGAGTCACACGCTCTGTACGAGTCCTGTTCAGCGACTCTGGTGCTCAAAAAGTGTCTAGAGTTTAGGCCGCTTGCGCCAGTCTTCCGGCCCCTGGGCAGCGACGGAGTCTTCGCCACTTGGAACAGCTCCGTTTGAGTCACCGGGACGGGCGTCGTCGCGGTGCCCGAGGCGAGGCGCGGCGGCGTGCCTCTCTGTCTGGACGACGGCCGGCGCGGCGCGGCGCGGCCTGCACGACGGGCGGGGGCGCGCAGAGTGGGCAGGCGGGCGTGGCGGCGCGCACACACTCACACACACGCCTCACCGCCTTGTGAAGTAGGCTCACCCTGTTATATATGGGCAATGCCTGCCGCGGCGGACAGCGTGAGTTATGACCCGCCCTACCCCGCCCCGCCCCTTCCCCGCGCTCTCAAATTAAAACATCTTTCGCGTCCGTCCCGCCCGATCGCATGAATCAGCCTCCAGAGACGCCATGGTCAGTACGGCCGGCCGGCTGATTCCGAGCGAGCGGTGCATTCGTCGCTCTGTCCTTCTCGCACTCAAGGGTTGACTCGCAGGGGTGCGCGACAGGCAGAAGGCTGTTCGGACCCCGCCTGCATTTCCGGCGGCCCCTTTGGGCCTCGCAGAGCCTCGCAGACCTGACAGGGTATCATCGGCGGGTGGGCTCGGCCGGGCACGGAGGGGCGGAGGCGAGGAGGCATTCGCCCGCAGTCGACGTCCGCGCGAGGAGCGCTCCCACAGCCTGCAGCCCAGCCTAGCCTTGGCTGCCGTGCCGCAGAGCCGCGGACAGAGGTCCCGTCTCTCTCGCACCCCCACGGCACGCGGCACGCCCCGTGAGTGCGAGAGAGACGGAGCGCGGTGCGGAATCGGTCTCCTACCGGTGTGGCGGTGCCACAGACCACCACAGCCCCGCCACAGCCGGGTAGGGCCCCGGGGCGCGGACGGGCCGGGCCGGGCCGGGCCTGTCGGTGTCGGTCGGCGGGCGCGTCTGGATCGCTCACCTCCGGGCTCCGGGCCGTCCCGGCCGTCCGGGACGCTACGCCATAAAACTTGGGCAATTAATTGAGGCGATATACAAGGCGGCAAGTCATGTGTGGCGGCGAGTCTGTGCATTCCAGAGGACTGCCGTAACTCGGCCAGGCAATGCCGCCAGCTCGTTAGCCCAAGCCCCGCCTGCAGACTGATTCCGAGAGTCGCTTTCGTCGCTCTGTCTCTCTCGCACCTATACGGGACGCCCTGTGAGTGCGAGGGAGACGGAGCGACGAAAACGACTCTCGGAATGAGTCTGCTGCCCCGCCCGGCGCGCGACCCGCTGGGAGGAACGCTTGACGCTTCGCGCCGCCGAGGACGCCGACGACGAGTGACGTCCGTTTAGCAGCTCGCCGGTGGCATTTCCCCCCACCGCCTTCCTCGCCGCGTCGCGCCGCTCACTCGTGAACGGCCGGGTTAGCCTGGTGCAACCAAGTGCAGGCCGGTTCATTACCGCTTTGGCCGGGTTAGCCTTGCGCGGACCGCGTCACTGCAAGTATTCCACTTTCTGGGACTCAAGTACTCACTTTCGGAAAGTGGAACCGTACAGTGCCCGCGGCCCGAGCGTCGCTGTACAGTACGCACCGGCCGCGCGGTGAAAGAACTCCCCGCGGCGATACACCGCGCGCGAGGTGCCTGCGGCAGGCACGGGGTAGCGCCGGGGCCAGTCCTCGCAGCACAGTGAGGCGGTCCAAAAACCCCGGACGCGTTCTGAGCTCCAGAGTCGCTAAATGACACTCGAACCGAACGTGTGGCCCCACCAATGGATTGCTCTCCGAACGAGGAATCCATTGGTGGGGTCACGCGCTCTGTTCGAGTTCTATTTAGCGCTCTGCCCGGTGAGCCCAAACCGTGAAGTGGTCCCGAGGGGCGCCTGCTGCACTTTCTCTGCTGTTCGAGGACGACGACGAGGCCACCTTTATTCACTTAGAGGCCTCGGCTCGGGGTGCGCCGGCCTCGGCCTTCCAGGGCCCTTCCAGGACCCTTCCAGGACTCCAGGAGCGCGCGACCGGCCGCCGGAAAATGGCCGGGGAGAGAAAAAGAAGCGACGGCAGCAACGAAAGGAGCCGCCGCTTTAAAATAATAACAATAAAAACAATAAGGCATCGGGTAACAAAAACCGAAACGAGAGGTAAATAAAAGAGTTGGCGATCTGGTCCTGCCCTGGCCGCCCGGTCCTGCGCGAGGCGAGGGCCGGCCGACCGTCCGACTGTCCGGCCCCATTCATTCGAACCCCTTCCCCCTCGGTCTTCCGTCTCGCTCGCACCCGCTGCGGGCCCGGCGCCGCGCTCTGGAACGTCGCTCTGACTCATCGGGGCGGGGGGAGGGGGTGCATCGGTAGGCCGGCAGTGTGATGGCCGCGTTTAGAGTATAGCACCTGTCTTTGTCGCACTTGAGCCGGTCCGGCCGGCTGGAATCCCTGGTGGAATGGCCGGGCGGACACAAGAGCGGACTCGACTTTTTTTTTGCGGGCAGGAGGAGAGCCCTGGGCCGTGACTCACACGTTCGAACGCTAACCAGCGAAGCCGAGCGAAGCAGTGGGAAAGGAAGAGGGCACAGCGCCGCACAGCGCAGGCGGAGAAGGACAAGAAGCAGGAGAGGAAGAGCCGAGTCCATGTTGCACTGTGCCGTCCCGTCAGACCAGACCGCCGCAGTTTTTGTACCTGTTTCATTCCTCGCCAACTTGCCGTTCTCAACCTGCCCGATCCCTCTTTATGCTTTCCTTTATTTTCACTTTTGACTTGGCTCCTCTTCCCTCTCCGTCTCTCTCACGGTCAGTTGGGGCCCAAGACACCAGGGAAGGCCACATTGCTCGGCTCGGGCCGGTGGACTCCAGCGCCGCGCGTCCGGTGAAACGGCCCTCAGGTGCACGGCGTGCACGGTGTGCGCCGCGGAGGTGCGTGCGCGCGCGAGCGGCAGGGGGACTCTTTCTGGCAAGTGCGCCAACTATTTCAGTCGCGAGTGGAGTGGATGACCCACCCTCGCCTTGGCTGAGCCTTGGCTGGGGTCGGTGCGTCGCCTCGGTGCAGCCGGTCAGACAGCCAGGCGGGCAGGCGGGCCGGCGGGCGGACGCACGGGCGGCAGCAGAACAAGAAGGCCTGCATTGTGCTGGTCACGTGACGCGACCTTTACGGGTGTGGCGGCGGGTCGCCGAGGAGCGACGAAAGCCCCGGCGAGCCGCGCGTCGTGGCGCAGCAGCGCAGCGAAAGGGTACGCGGTTCACCCCCTCCCCCCCCCCCTTGCCTCGGACGTCCCTTGTTTTTGCGACGGCGTGGCGAGGCGTGGCGCGCCGGCCGCGGCGCCGGTGAGTCTATTCCTAGCGGCCCTGCCCGAGGCTGCCCCGAGGCTGCCCCGAGGCTGCCCGCCGCCGCACAGCTGCTCGGACACGGCCCCTGACGCCTTGGGCTGCAGGCTGCCGTCGGCGTGGACTGCCCAGAGTAGTAGGCAACCCACAAGCAGCACGTTGCCGTGGCCCAGTGGGCCAGGCCAGAAGACCGGTGGAGGCGGTCAAAACCCCGGGCGCGTTTTGAGCTCCAGAGTCGCTAAATGGGACTCGAACCGATCGTGTGACCCCACCAAAGGATTGCTCTCCGAATGAGGAATCCATTGATAGGGTCACATGCTCGGTTTAGCGACTCTGGAGCTCAAAACGCGTCGAGGGTTTTGGCCGCCTGCGCGTTGTCGGCGCCACTGCGAACTGCAGCGAGCACCACCTGGCGGCTGGACGGGGAACCCAACCCACAGGCAGCCTGCTCCGCGCCGCTCGGCTGGCACGCGGCGATGCAAGCAGTCGCCCTGCCCGTCCCCGGCCACAGCCCCCGCCCCGGCCTCTGCCCCCGCCCCTGCACCGCAAATCACATGTAAAATATCTCGTGCGCTGCCGCAAATCACCTGGGCCTAGGCCTAGGGTGTAGGGAGGGCAGTGAACACGGCGACTTACAAATGCGCCCAACATGCCCGTAAATTGTACGCGCCGCGTCCGACGTCCGAGGCCCCGGACTGGTTTAGCGGGCCGGTTCGCAGTTCGCACGCGGCGTGGGTTCAAATACCGCGCCGCCATCGTTTTCAGCGTTCTCGACTGGACTCGGAACAATGGCGCGAGGCGGCGGGGCAAGCCGAAAGTCCAAGTCATGTTTATTTCTCAACCGCCAGTTTTTCTGATAAGGAAATGGGCGTTCCTCCACCTAGCACCCCGACGCGAACCTCACCTTCCGTTCGACGGCGGGGCCGTGCTCCATGGCGAACATGATGGCCTCCGAGATCTTGTTCTCCATCTGGCGGATGGCCTCCTCCGCGTTGAGCTGGTACGGCGCGGCGCGCGCGGTGTCCCTCGGCCTGCCGGGGAACGGCGGCGCCGCGGCCGCCGAGCCGGCCAGCTTGGCGGCGGCCTCCACGAACGAGGCCCAGGGCTCGTCCAGGTCCGAGGTGCGCTCCGTCACGCAGCCCCGCAGCACGTTGAGGCAGTAGCCCTGGCACGGGCGCACCGCCTCGCCGAGCCCCGCGCACCGCGGGCACGCCCACAGTCGCAGCAGCACCGCCGGGCACGCCGAGCTGCAGCACACCAAGACCGCCGTCAGCAAGGCCGTCAGCATCCTCATAGTGGGCCAGAAGACAGGTTCTCGCGCTCAAAATCCCGGACGCGTTTTGAGCTCCAGAGTAGCTAAATGGGACTCGAACCGAACGTGAGACCTCGCCAATGGATAGCTCTCCGAACGAGCAATCCATTGGTGGCGTCACACGCTCGGTTTGAATCCCATTTAGCGACTCTGGAGCTCAAAACGCGTCTTTGGCCGCCTCCACCGGCCTTCTGGCCCACTGCGTGCCGGCAGAGCGGCCTGCTAATGGGACTCACCCTGAGGCCGGGTCGTCGATGAGCATGGAGTCCGTGGCGTTGAGCACGTCGGCGCCGATGCTGAGCACGCCCAGCAGCACCCTGGCCGCCTCCAGGGCGCGGCTCAGGCTGTGTGCCAAGGCGCGCGGCGCCTCGCCGAAGGGCTGCACCTCGGCCATCCTGGACGACAGGCACTGCTCGTACGTCGCCTCCAGCTGCCGCTGCGGCGCGCCGCCCTGCGCCAACACGCAAATTAGCACAATCCAAACATACATCAAAGCGACACTTGCAACCCGCCCGGCCGGGGACGTACCCGCTTCATCGGCTGCGCCGCCGTGTGGAAGGTGAGCGGGAACAGCTTGGCGAAGAACCTGTTGACGGAGTCCGTCATGGAGAGCCCCTGCGGCGGCGACGACAGCCAGGCCGCCTCCGCGGCGCCCTGCGCGGCCTGCTGCGGGGCCGGCGTGTCCAGGTAGCGCACGATGTCGGCGTACAGCGAGTGGATGGGCTCGTTCGCCAGCAGCGCCATGCGCTTGTACACCTGCGCGAACAGCGTCAGCGTCTTGCCCTCGGACCAGCGCGCCAGCCGCACCAGGTGGTCTGCAACACAGGCGACAGGTTCAAGCACCGCTCCACGGACGCCGGCATGCAAGTCGAAAGTACAATGCCGCGGGAGGGGGGGATTCGAACCCGCGCCCGCCCCAGACTCCCCCACCCTCTGCAAACAAATCAAGCGACGTCGTTGAGCATTCATAAATGTCGTTTGTCGCCTAGAAGTCGGCCGGGGATATTTATAAAGAGGTGAAATGGCGACGCCGCCCCTCCCCCTCCCCCTCCCCCGCCCGTCGAGACAGCGGTCCCCTCCCCCGCAACGCTAGCCGGCCTGCGGTTAACAACCTCCCCGCTGTAAACAAAAACACCGTCCTCGCCGGTCCTCGCCGCCCGGCCCCGCCACTGGCCGCGCGCTCAACGCTCCAATAGTACTAATAATAAGTTGTAACCCCCGGGACGACGCCGGGCGGGGCGGCGCGGGGCGGCGCGGGCAGCTGTCACCGCGCGGAAGACAATGTTTGCCGAGGGACACGCAATAAAGTCTGCCGTGATGCCGGACGGGTAGCAGCAGCGGACGGGGCGCCGAGCCACGCGCAGTGGGCCAGCCGGCCGCCGGGACAACCAACTCTGGCGGCAAAGTTTGGAGCTGCGAGTCTCTAAAAGAGGACTGCCGACGGACTGCCCTTCGAACGAGGGGTCCAGCAGTACCACCACACGTTTCGTTCTGAAAGGACTGAAAGCGCGAAACGCGTTCGGAGAGTCCGCCTCGGTAGGCAGGCCAGGCCGCCTGCGAGGTAGGCAGACGACGGCGGCCTCGCGCCGCGGAGCCTCGCGGTGCTGCCTACCCGGCCCGCTGCAGGCGCTCCCGCTCCAGCGAGGAGGCTGCCGCCCGCTCCAGCAGACTGATTCCGAGAGTCACCGCTCTGTCCCTCTCGCTCTCATGGGGCACCCCGTGTAGGTGCGAGAGAGACGGAGCGACGACTCCCGGAATGAGTCTGCAGGCCGCGCCGTCTTCTCATTCGAGGCGCTGGAAATTAAAATCGGCTAGACGGTCCGTGTCCCTCGTGCCCCTCGGCCGCGCTGCGCGCTCCGCGCCCGGCGGTTCAATGCACGCCTAATGGCGGCGGAATTGGCAGAATACGTTTCGTTAGCGGCCCGTTTGCAATTAAGAGTACCGCCCCTAGTTGGGGCGGGGTGGGACGCGGCGGGGCGGCCAGTGCACTGCAGAGTCAATCAAAAGTGGAGCCGCTGTGTCGCGGCAGCTGGGCCGCGGTGGGCGACGTCGGGGAAGCCCCTTGCTGGGTTCCGGGCGGGCCCGAGGCACAGTGGCCAAGAAGACCGCTGAAAGCGGCCAAAATAAACGCGTTTTGAGCTCCAGAGTCGCCAAATGGGACTAAAACAGAATGTGTGACCCCACCAATGGATTGCTCTCAGAACGAGGAATCCATTGGTGGGGTCACACGTCCGGTTCGAATCGTTCTTAAGCGACTCTGGAGCTCAAAACGCGTCAAAGCGCCTCCGCCGAGCCTTCTGGCCCACTGTGCGAGGCGCAGCGATCTGGTGCGGACGCTGGGCCGCTGCCACACTGCCACGACGCCCGGCCACGCGGCCCGCGGCCACGCCCAGTATGCTAATTGGGAGTATGACGCGGCCTTGCCCGCCATTGTCTCGCATGAGTGTGTCCTGTCGCTCGCTCTCTCTCGCACTCGCGGGGCGCTGCGCAATGCTCCGCAATGCTGCGCAGGGGTGCGAGAGAGACAGAGCGACCGCCGGGCCGCGCGTTCCGCGAAGCGACGCGAGGCACTCCAGCGGCGCAGCGGCGCACTGGCAGAAAAGCGCCAGGCCGTTTCGATCTGGGCGGCAGCGCGGAACCGGCCAGAATTTCAGAGTCCGCTGTAAAACACGACAGCGTGTCGGCGCCAAATTTTGGCCGAAGGCCGTTCCTTTGGTGCGGCTATTTGTGCCGGGGTGTCAGGAGGACTGAAAGCGTCGCTATCACTCGGCCCATTACACCGCACCGAGCACTCCGTCCCCTGCCTCTCTCTCTCTCTCTCTCTCTCTCTCTCTCTCTCTCCTCTCTCTCTCTCTCTCTCTCTCTCTCTCTCTCTCCATCCCCTGCCGCCACCACGGGTCCAGAGTGCGTCCTCTCTGAGTGCGGCCGTGGAGCCTATCTGACACGCCATCCCTGCGGCGGCTTCATCACACACGCCCCAACCCCCGCTGCCCCCGCCGCCCCCACGACCCGCTGCCCACCGCCCGAATATTGATACGACGCAAAGCACACTTTGAGCGCTCCGGCGAGCTGATTCCGAAACAGTGCTTTCGTCGCTCTCTTGCACTCATGGATCGCACCGTAGGGGCGAGAGGGAGAGCGACTAGAGCACTGTTCGAAATAAGCCTGCGGACCGAGGCGGCTCCAAATCTCACTAATGACAGTTGCATCTGCTGCTTGGCCAATCGCAATGTGTGCGCGGCGTGCAGCGAGTCACGGCCCGCCAATCAATTTAAATGTGAATGTGGCGGCGTGACGTACTGCTACGTACACTGCAGCGCGCGGCTCATTGCTGGTTCTAGAGGCCCGAGTGTGCGGAGCGCTGCTTTCTCTCCGTCGCACTCGCACCGGACCCTGATGGATGACCGGCCGGCCCCGCCCCCTTCAATTTGAACCACGAGTAGTACAGTGCAGCATCCATCGCGACACCATCGCGACACCCGGCCCGGCATGACGCAGTACGTACGTACAGTCGCACGCGAAACCTCGCTCTCTGCAGACTGATTCCGAGAGTCGTTTCCATCGCTCTGTCTCTCTCGCACTCATGGGACGTGCCCTATAGGTGCGAGAAAGACAGAGCGACGAAAACGACTCTCGGAATGAGTCTGCCGCCGGGGCCACCGCGACCAAAACACGCGCGTCGGCTGCGCTAGAGCGGGCAAACACAACATTTACACCGTAACAATGTAAAGCCGCGCCGAGGCCGAGGCGCCCTACGGGCCCTTCAGGCCCTCCGGGGACTGAGGTGCGGTTTGACAAGTCCTGGAGGGTCAGGGAGGCGCGCCCGGGACGCCGGGACGAAAGGGGAAGAGGAATTCACTAGAGTGGGGGGGGAGGAAGGCCTCGAGGGGGCACTCGACTCGAGCGGCGTATGCAATGCCAGGTAGGGCCACACACACACACACACACACACACACACACACACACGCACACACACACTCGTAGAGTGTAGTAGGGCCTTGCTCGACGAGCAGTTTACAAGCAGTCTTTGTGTGTGCGCTGCACCCCAACCGGGCACGGGAGTCAAACATCATGAAGGCTGAGGACTGACGGACGGCCTGCGGGCCAAAAGAAGAGGGCAGGTGGCAAAGTGGTGGGGGGTGGGGTAGGGTGGTGGTGGCATAATTGGTACGAACAGTCCCGCCGTCTAGGGCCACGCCAGGAGTAGCTCGGGGACCGCGCGGTAGCACGGTTCCGCTCGGAATGCAAACTTTCGACTCGGCCACTCATGTTTGTATTCATGCGAGAAGTTTTGGGCGGCCCCTGTACCCTACTTCTTCCCCTTCGCTGGGGTTGACCCCCCTTTGCAGACTGACGCCGAGAGCTCTGTCTCTCTCGCGCTGCTGGCGCGTCCCGCGTGGGTGCGAGAGAGACAGAGCGACGACTCTCGGAGTCAGTCTACTGGACGGTGGCCAGCCCCCCCAGCCCGCGCTGCACCGACGGCCGTCTCACCCCATACCACGGCGGCGAGACCCGCCCCTGCGGCCCCGGCCGCCCCGCACGGCGAGCCAAACATTTGCAACATTTTTCACGCGTGCCCGGCCGAGGCTTCGCCTGGCACTGCCTGGCACCGCCACGGACTGCCCAGGGCGAAAAGCCAGAAAAAAGTTGGGCTGCGTACAACGACTGCACTTCCTCCAGCGAGCCGCGCTGGAGGCACGCTGGAGCCACGCTAAAGCCACGCCCCCGCCAGCCTGGACCTGCCTGGAGAGATACCGGGGCACGCAACGCATCCCGCGAGGCAGCCAGCCAGCAGACTCATTCCGAGAGTCTCTCACTCCGTCTCTCTCACACCTACAAGGGACGCCCCACGAGCGCGAGACAGACAGAGGGACAGACTCTCGGAATCGGCCGGAGTCGGCAGTCCGCCCACAACAAGGAGAAACAGCGCGACTTTAACGACCAGGCCCGAATTTAAGTGCAAAACTTGAATGGGCCGAAGAAAAACAAAAACAAAAGTAAAAAGAGAGGGGCTCGCGCTAAACGCAGTTAAGTACGAGTTGGACTTTCTCGCGGAGGAGGATAGCCCGGCCCGCGAAAGGTGCGATGCGTTTCAACAAAACGAGGAATCCCATTCAAAGGATCTTTAAAGAATTTCACCAAGTTTGATCATTTGGGACGGATACAAGAGTAAACGTAACATATTTTTTCCATACTGTATTATTATTTTTTATTTTTTATCTTCAAGCTTAAGTGAATTAAATCACAAATTATATTCATTCGTAGCTGTATCAAATGATCAAACAACTGAGTGAAATTCGCCAGCGTTTAAGATAAGATTCTTTTAGGAGGGGGAACGCCCGGATAAGATCTTCTGAATAGAATCCCTCGAAAAGCGTGATTTCGCGGACAGAGGGCGGTGCTAGGCGAGACAAATAACGGAGTCGTGCGTCCATACATTACGCACAGTTTGACCCCCGCTGCCATCCCTCTCGCACTCGCCGACAGTCCCTGGGGAGCGGCGAGGACAGGCAGACCTAAGCGCGTTACGTGATAAGTGGATGATCCTTAAGGGCAACCAACAGGGCCTCGCGATCCTGTGCGTCACACCTGTGTGTGTGTGTGTGTGTGTGTGTGTGTGTGCATGGGGAAATGGGGGGGGGGGGGGTGTTTCAGGTCTGGAGGCGCACGTCTACAGGGTCCCCTTCCATCGTATTGCATAATGAAAACTCCTGAAAAAAAGACGGGGGAGGGCACGAAGGTGTTTGTGTGTGTGTGTATGTATGTGTGTGTGTGTGTGTGTCTCTCTGTGTGTGTGTGTGTGTGTGTGTGTGTT